AGACAATCATCAATCAATAAATAAAATGAAGTGGGACAGCACTTTTTAGCAAATTGTATTTTTATAACCATACTATACTAATGATCGTGAGTTTATAAATAGAAAGGACAATCTCATATGGAAATATAATTTTTTTTTGGGGGGGGGGCGTGGTACTGGGGAATTGAACTCAGGCCCCTGCGCTTGCCAGGCAAGTGTTTATTTTACTGAGCTATCTTCCCTGCCCAGAAATGTAATCTACAAAACATCATTTCGACCAGACCATCCCAGGCAAGGATTCCAGCAACCCAGCAAAGCATCCACAGTGGCAGCAACAGCAGGGCAGTGGCAGCAGGATGACACAGCCAGACAGCTCCAAGCAGGGTCCCCCAAGACCTGGGTAGGGACACATATACCCGCAGTTGGGTGAACAGTGTTGACCCAACATTGTGAACATGGACAAGTGGAATGGAAGGGGCCAGGGGAGACTGCCATTCTTTGACATATATGGAGAGCTCAAAGGTCTGCAGAGAACTCCAGCAACAGATCGCCAATCCTAGCCCTCACATCCAGAAGCCAAAACCAGCCCTATGCCCAGCCAAATCCTACTACAAAACTGCCTGGAGTAAACAATACATTTCTGAGATCAGATTTGGACCTACCACAAAACTGCAAGCACCAGAGGAATTTTGCTCCATTTATTTTTCTGTTTAATTAGTTTTCCTTTTTCCGTCCACATGAGATCTTTCTTTTAAAATTTAGTTTAATTTGATCTTAATTTATACCTTAGGGTTATTTCTGTTTTCTGTTTTTACTCTTTTTTCTTTAACGACTTAGATTTATCATCTTTCTTTATGCTTTCATCTACTTGTCTAATTCTCTTTTGCCAACTAACTTGATTTTATGATACCTTCATTTGTTTGTTGGTTTGTTTTGTGGTACCAGGGATTGAACTTAGGACCCTGCACTTGCCAGGCAAGCACTTATTCTACTGAGCTATCTCCCTGGGCCGATATTTCATTTGAATAAATACTGCCTCTTCTCTGCCCAGTTCACTTCAATACTCTTCTACTTCTTCTTCCATTCTTTCCCTGTTTTGTCCTCCAGTTTCCCAAAATGTGGGTGACCAACGTATGGCCCCAAGCTTAATCACCTAACATGGTAAAGTCACTCCACTAAAGAGAGAATCACTGCATACAGATTCCTGGTATATGTTGGATTCTGTTACACAACTGTAGAATTTGCTCCTATGGTTAAAAGTATTAGGCCAAAAGTTACCACAGTTTGTCAGTAGCCAGGCTGTACTCAAGACTATTGTTACTGTTAATTGCACTACTTTAGCCAGGACACCATACCTGCTACAGTTTTTCTCTCCCATATGATTGTATGGGATAATTAACATCACCATACTCCAGTACCAAAGGACTGGGTGCTGAGTCAAATAGGTAACAACTTTTATCCTCAACACCTCAAAAGGTGGGTTCTTTGGATAGACACAAAGACCAAGAACCACAGACATCTAGAACACATAACAGTGGAACAGCCATTGCTTAGGGAAGTCTTGATACTATGAATAAAGCTATCTTCCATAAAAAACCCGTAAGAATTCACATAGAAAACAAAACTATAGGGGCTGGAGAGATGGCTCAGTGGTCTAAAGCACCTACTTGAAACAAGCTTGGCAAAGCACAGGGACCGCGGTTCGATCCCCAGCACCACATGCCAGCCAGCCCCGCCCCCTGGTGGGCTGAGCTGGCCATACACACACACAATAAATAAATGTAATAAATAAAAATAAATAAATATTTTTAAAAAAAAAGAAAACAATACTATATAAACAACAGAAAACAGGAAATGACAAGACATGGAAGCAAAATGCAACCCCACATCCCCCAGCCCACCTAGGACAAGTCCAGAGCACAGTGAGATAGAGGAAGCCAGAAGCCAACCACTAGAACTTTCTCAAAAGACAGCAACAGGAGTGGAAAAAAAAAAAAATGTAAAAAACTATAGAACAAGTAATCTCTAAGGTGCGAAAAGAAATGACGATCAAAATGAACAACATTAAAACACACAGATATTTAAAAAAAGAAAAAGAAAGAGTCCAGGAAAACAATGGAAAGCATGAAGTCCAGGAGATTAAAAATTCCACTGAAGGTATGCAACAGATTACGTGAAGGCTAGAATAGAATATCAGATCTGGAATACAGGATTTGGCTAGTGATCATGAAAAGAAAGATACCTTAAAAGAAAACATCATTTCCTCTGAGGATAGTGTTGTATGCCTATAATCCTAGCTATCCTGGTGACTGAGGCAGAAAGAATATAACTTCTAGGTCAGCCTGGGCAACTTAGTGAGACCAGGTCTCAAAAATGAAAGTAAGAAAAAACCAAAAGACTGAGGATATAGCTTAATGGAAAATAGTGAGTAGAACTTGTTTCTCACATGTGAGAACCTGGGTTTCATTTCCACTATTGCAATAAATAAAGAAAATATCATTTCTAACAAATGACAAAGGTTTATTACATGGATATAAAAAGGACTTAAGTCTTAAAACACAATAAAAAACGAGAAGCCCTGAGTCAGCTGTTCTCAAAGTAAAAACAGCAAGTAACATAATGCCAACTACTCAATGTCATTTGCATCCAGTGAAACATACATTTTGGGAGGGAGGATTTTATGGGATGCTTGGGATCTATTTAACAGCCTTTTGTGTATTTGAAAAGCATCCTACCAATTAACTACACACACACACACACACACACACACACACACACAGATCCTGTATGTTTTCTTTAAAGAGATTTTGAACATAACAGACTAGCGCACAAAATAAGGACTTCCAAATAATACTCATGACAATATGGTAAAATGGGCTTATATTCACTGTCCTGTTAATATTAATTAGTAAAATCTTCCTGGCAAGCCATTTTACTTCCAGATATTTCTTGTAAAAAGACTACCGACCAAGATC